GTGCGCAGGTGACGACCCTCCCGCTTTAACAAAGTTTTAAATCTAATTAGGCCAAAATTGCATCACGACATTGATACCAAAGATCATCAAAACAAACTATTTTATTAAAACCAAATCTTCTTCCCGAACACGAGTTAAAGCCATTCCCTCCTTTTCTATAGTGTTCTCTCTTAGAACATTCATTATAGACTTTTTAACGTTGCCCGGGGCATTCCTTCTAAAATCAGTCCGTTGAGTCATAAAATCCAGGAGCAAGCTTCCTTCTTCAGATGAGTCATTAAAGCAGTCGGTGACGTCTACCGTGAATTCGCGTGAGTTCCTTTTAATCTTGCCAGTTTTGGTCTCAAGATACCCCAGAGCATCATCGGAATGTTGGTGATGTTTTCCACAACCCGTCAATTTAGTAAAAAGTTTACCAACTAAGCCAAATGTTGCTGAAATAGAGTTAATTGTAATAGCTTTTATCCTAAGACCTAATAACTCAACGGTTTAAATACCGGTGTATGTATGGCTGAGATAACATGTAAGTTACGAAATAGCGTTTATTTTGACAAATACTCCGCAATAATACAAACAATTAAGCAGAGGAATATGCCCGAATATATCGATTGGGTGGAGCAAAAAAAGTGCAAACACACTGAAACCAAAGAAGCCTGATTTCGACTTTATTTCAGATATGTTTAAAATACTAAAACAATGCGACAATTGAAAGTCTTAATAGCCGATCTGTTAATTCAGAAATTCCTTTACAATTTACCGTATATTACTCTCCTGGTGAATGGACCAATCACGGAGTTACCGTTAATAAACAAGAAAGCACAATGTATCGTTGTGTTTGAATCACACATTTCAGAAAAAAAAGGTAGTATAGGTGGTGCTATAATCTGCAGTGGAATATTCAGTATTGATACATAGATACTTACAGTCACCAGTTACCATGGTGTTTACAACAACACCGTCTGTCCTTGCCATACTGTACATGCTGTCTATCGCCCAAACCAAATTCAAATAGCACAAGACATGACAGCTAACAACAATATGGAACGACCCAACATCAGTTTCACGTTGATCAGTCATGTACTTCTCAAAAGTTACATTATGCCAATCAAAGGTTAGACCTGGAGACGATGTTGCAAAGTCCATTGCTGTTTTTTTACACAATTGTAATTGCACCTCTTTTGGTTCGATGATTTTAATATGCACATCTGGATGCACTGCTAATAGACATTTTGCCATTCCTATTTCATGGTTTCCTGTGAAAATATTGGAGAATCAGTGTAAATGTTTGACTTCACATACCTCAGTGAATCATATAACTCTGGCATCACAATACTGTAATATTACCAACCAATTGAAACCAAAAACACCACTTAGCTTGGTAGTGGTATCACAATGCGTTTAAATATTCGATTTACATGCACATACGCATACGCTGCATACACTATACACCATACACGCATGCATGCATACATCATACACTACATCATACATGCATATACTATACATCATACATGCATACATGCATCAAATACATGCATACATCATACATCATACATACATACATACACTACATCATACATCATACATGCATGCATATACGAAACATCATACATCATACATCATACATGCATACACTACATCATACATCATACATGTATACATGCATACATGCATACACTACATCATACATCATACATACATACATACATACACTATACATCATACATCATACATGCATACACTACATCATACATCATACATGCATACATGCATATATGAAACATCATACATCATACATTTGCATACACTACATCATACATCATACATGCATACACTATACATCATACATGCATACACTACATCATACATCATACATCATACATGCATATACTACATCATACATTATACACTACATCATACATCATACTTGCATACACTATACATCATACATGCATACACTATACATCATACATGCAATAACACTATACATAATACATGCATAGACTATACATCATA